AACACTATCAGCAGTGTAAGGAATGAGTACCTGCGTCTCAGCAACTTTCTGAGAAGCCTCCTCCATCAGAGGGATTGGAGCAAACTTCTGATTATTGATTTCCAAAAGGTTGGCCGTCAGCGAAGGAAGAGGTGGAGCGGAAAAGTCGGAAGACTTGGAGGAAGTTGTCATTTCAGTAATAGGGAGATTAGAGGAAAACAAGATAAAAGGAGGGGGCACAAGGATGAAGACAGGAACTCAAGGAAGAAGATGAAGGTGTAAAGGGACAAAAGTTCGCGTAAAAAACCTGAGTAGAAAACCAATAGAGTTTAAAAGGGAAAATCGCCTAGGGGGCTGGAAACGACGGAGGTGAAAGGTAATAAATGTAGCGTGTACTGTAAAAGCAGCAGACTGACGAGAAGGCGACGTAAAGCAAAAGGGACAACTAAAACCCTTTTAACCCTAGAACCCCAGAAACCCTAAATCCTAAGTTCTGTGGGCCTCCAAACACTAAGGCGGGAATATTGAAAGAATATAAACAGAAATCATTTATATTCTTCCAAGGGGGCATTTTGTTAGTGGAAAATCGAGAAAAGCGATCGAAAATGAAGGAAAGAAACAAATTGAACACGTGACTGATAAATCAAGATAGATAAAAAACCATTCGATGTCTAAGCACGTAACACATAACATCGAGAAGTACAATCGAGAATCGAAGGAATGATAGTCAAATGCCTATTGTCGAATAAAAACCTAAGAAACTAGAATGATAAGACGTTAAGGTTGAAAAGGAATCGTAAGCAATTTGAAGTTCTCGAAAGTGTAAAATCGAAAATGAAGAAAGCTAACCTACACGGACATCGAAAACTTTGGCCAAACCATAAAGAGAAGAGTAAGTCAAACGCACGGATAGAGAGCAGTTTCGAAACCATGGAGGAAATCGAAGATCGTGAGAACGTGGGAAACCGTAGAAGATAAACCGCCATATGTACGTAGAACGTGGTAGCGATCGTGTTAACCGCTCTTGGAAGACTTGAACGATGCACTATAAATAGAGCAAAGAAGGAAGAAATAGGGGGCGAAATTGGCGGAGAACGGAATCGGTAGTGAAAAGTCTACCGGAGAAACGACGAACACCATGAAGCTTCGGCAATCTGGATTTCTTTGCTCACTGAGTACATTTACCGCTTTCGTATTTTCCTTGGTAATTTACTTTGATGCAACTTAAAATTCAGCAGTTTGATGTTTCGTGTTTTCGATTCCTTATCATTTCAATTCAATGAAAGTTTAAATTTCGCATTTAAGTTTCCCTGTCATTTACTTTTCTTGCAATCTCGATTTCCTGTCATTTACTTTTCTTACAATCTCGGTTTCTGTCATTTATATTTGCACTATTTTTGATTTCTTGTCATTTACAATTAATGTAAATTTGGGGTTTTCGCACTTTACATTTCCTCGCAATTTAATATTCTGTTTCTCGATTCGATATTTTTACTGTGTTCGGTATTTTAAATATAAAAAATAGCATTTTCGATATCCTGTAACTTTCGATTCTTATACACGTTTTCGATTGAAAGTCAAATTGCTAGCCTAAGTAAAAAGAACTTACGTGGGAGGATTTTGATTAGGACCAAAACACCTTTAGAATCGAAATCGATCGAAATTCCACCAGAAACATAATGATATAAGTAATACATTTCGGTAAATTAAAAAATAATTTTGTTTATACGACCTGGAATAACTATCATAAACTCGGAAGAAAAAAAAGGCACAATAAAAAATTCTTTGCTTTATTAGCTATAGACTAAAAAAGAAAAAAAAGAAAACAATGGAGGACAAAATGATGTAATTTTATTTTTGGCACATAATCATATATGAATGGTTACCTGTGTTATTTTTGTCTTTTTACATTAAATATAAAGTTGATGTTAATACGAAAGAGATAAATTTATGTTGAACATACGTAAATTTATGCCAGAAAAAGTAAAAAATTGAAATAAATTTATATTGGATCCAACTTTAACATACATAATATGGGTTTGACGTAAATATACATCAAGTATTGACACATTCAATGTAAATTTCGTATTTTTTTTAATATTTGATTTATTTTATCTTACAACAAAAACCTACAAATATATTTTAATTACATATAGTCAAGATTTCATATTTTCAATAGACAATGATTAAAAATACAACAATACAATACAAAATAGTACAAAGACTAAATTCCTTAGAAACTAAACATTACAAAACTAAATTAATATAAAAATTAAACTAATACAAAAACTAAATTAATATAAAGATTAAACTAATACAAAAACTAAATTACTTGTTAAACTACATAATACAATATAATATAAATTATAATCTATAAACTAAATACTAGAAATGTTGAATGAAAAACATTGTATATTGCTCTCTAATTTATGTAATATCATATTCGATAGTAAAAATGGATCTTAAAATACCCGAAATATTAATTTAACTCATGTTAACATGCATTATTTATAAAGATAAATCAAGTTAATAAATATTGAAAACAATTACCTCTGTCAAAAAAACAATCACATATTCAATTTGAACATAAAAGATAAGATATAGAATATTAATATTGATTATACAAAAAATGGTCTAAAATTCGAATCCAATTGAAAAGAAATGTCAACCACCACAAATAGGACATAATATAGATATTTTCGTTATTCATCATGATTGAAATGTACCCTACAAGAAGCTGAAATGATTATTGTCACCGTTATCATTAAAAAATTCCTCACGTACAAAAGGAAGAAAAGTTATGTAAAAATAAAACACGACTTTTTTCCTGAAAATATCGGAAATAAAAATTTCATCCATTATTTACAAAAATATCATCATATTTTTTTTAAGTCATATATTTTTGAATCTGAAAAACAAAAAAATCACATAAAAATGTTTTTCACCTGTATAAAAAAAACTTATACTTGCCACAAACTAAAAATTGCCCATGACTGAATTAATGAATAACCTAAGTGATATATAATCCACATAGTGTACATTTTTTTTATAAATAAAGTTTGGTTCAGTCCACATATAACTGCGTTATCTTTAAATATATTATTATTATTAAAATGTATTTAGAAAATTGACCTATTCCAATAAATAATTTTCTATACACCCAAATTTAAAAATTAGATATTTGATTATATAAGACATAATTGTCTACCTACCATAACTTGTTGGTAGTACACAACCCTTTGATTGCAAGTGTTTTTTAAAGGTAGACTTTGTTACGTGATGATATTCTTTCGTATCTTTTTAATTATTATTTTTCCACAATGCAACAAAAAGTAAAAATATTCCATGGCATATTTCTTTTTATATTTACATATCTGATTCATCATCCTTAAAAGAACACAATATTTTATATTTTTTTCTTATATTCACGTACTTCTTTATTTTATCAAAATCTCTATCATTTTTTTTTCCTCAATGAAGTATTCAATTAGAGATTTAAAAAAAAATCGTATTTATCATACAATTTTATTGATATTAATCATAATAGTATATTTTAAAGTTTTTGAAGGAAATTCTCAAGAGTACATATCTTTTTGGATTTTGTAGGTAAAAGATCAAATGATGTTTAAATAAAAGTTAAATTTCTTGAAAATTGTTAACTTTCTTAGCACTTCTTTAAATAATAAAATGTGTTATCTTTGACTTCTCTTTTTAAAATATAAATTTATTTTTATTTCATATAATTATAAAATATTTCATAATTTTAAGTGTTTTTTTTTTATATTCGGGATTAAATTATTCTACATTTACAGTTTATATATAAAGATAGACATAATTAAATTATAAAGAGAATTTACAGATTCAACTGCGAATAAAGAGAATTTATTGAATAAGCTTGCATATCTGTTATATATAAAACAAATACATCGGTGCTTAAATTATTATTATTATTATTTTCTAAATGCATGGTACGTTGCCACATGCGAAAAAACATAAAATAAAATATTCAAATATGTTTTGTGATTTTATTCTTCTGGATGCATTTAACAAAAATGTAAACTTATACAATGGATCGTAGAATTAATGATTAAGATTGGAGAATAATTTTTGTCACATATATTCTTTACAACTGACCAGGATCATCTTGCCATATATAGTACACTAGATCATGGAATCTTTTTATTATAACCATGATAATTAAATAAGTTAAAGAAAATAAATAAAATGTCATTATTGAATTAATTTATACCTTATGCATATATACAAATAAAATGTCCTTGTTAAAAATGTATATTATAAATTCATATTATCAATAATATTAGTTTTAAATTTTTGCAATCTTTTTTATTGGATATCGTAGTATTCAAATAGTTCACCTTTATGGGTCACGTAATAAGTTTTGTTATTGGATATAAATAAATATTCAAATCCAAAAAAAAACTATCAACGTTAAAAAAGTATTAAGATTTATAAAAAGTAAAAATAAAAAGTAATATTAAGATCAAAGAAAACTTTAAAGTATTATCATATATTAATGCCAACATTCCAATACATAAAAAAGATTATAAAGATTTTCAATCATTTTGGAATCGTCTAGGATTATCATTATACGATTATTATGAATAAGCATACTCTCACTCTCATTTAGTCTCATATTCAATATTATTATTATTATTTTTATATCCATTAGTAAAAAACTTGAAAGAAACATCTAATTTCTTACACGAAAAGTTTGAGTTATAGGGCCATTAGAAACCAAAAGAGTACAAAAATATGGTAACGAATTATGATTTCAATGGAGAGTAAAAGGTAATTATACTAAGAGATAAAATATGTCAACTTTACTATACACAATTACGCCTCAACTGAGGAGAATTTTATCATCGGGGTTGTTTCTGGCCTCCCCTGAAGCTCAGTGTATTATGATTAATTTTCACATGACTAAGCAATCATGGAGTTTTTTTTTTCTCAGTTGCTTCTCTGTCCCTCACACCACATGTGGGTAACATTGAAAACACAAATCATCTCGCAGACTCTGAGATACTTTGTAAAGAGGGTTGCCAAAATCTTGTCTTAGCTGTGGCACCAGCACCATTATTAGTTGGTGCTGTTATCCTTGGTCGACCTTTTTCAGGCTTGGTCATTGCCTAAAAGAAAACAAACACAAGTATTAGTTATATGAATGACACCACCAATTACGAATTAGCATACAATGAATCTTTATGAAAATTCAGTAACTTGGCATACAACAAGTATAGAGATGGGTTTTAAGTTGTGTAAATTATGATTCCAGTATTTGTTTATTCATGTAAATTTTGTCATATACATATGTCTCGCCATTCCAAAGAACTAAAGCCTTCACAGAAGTAAATTTACAAATAAACCAACCCAAGAATATTAGGCAAACGTTTGGGGAACCCAAATCCTGTCACAGAAGCTAGTTGCCAGGCAAGAAAAAGTAATTATATAAACTCACTATTAAACATCTTATATTACATGACGTGGGACTTACACATTCGTAATAATGCCGATTTGTAAAACTCTCCCAATAATGAAATTTTCTGTTTACAAAAAACCATGTTTTATGATGAAAAATTAATCGGCAAAACGAGATACACATCAAGCACCACTCAATTATCAGCTTCCCTTGTACAAGATTTAACAAATCTCTGACTGAACGATGAACCATAATTGGAAGAGAAAATAGAAAAGATAAAATGAAAAACACATTTTGGTTGAAGTTTTACCTTACTGTCCTCCATATCGGACCTCCTTGCCACTTTCTCCTTTTCCAAATATGGCTTGGGAACTGCCTCTGACACGTTTTGCCTCATCTTTGCCTTTTGCTTTTCCCTGAGACCCTTCATGACCTCTGATCCCAACAAGAACCACTTTCAATCAAAGGCTCAAAGTTGGAATAAGCAAAGAAAAAAACTCAAATCTTTTTGCACTGGTCTTGCAACAAACCTTGAGTTGTGACGAGTCTATAAACTTGTCCAAGAAGCAGGGTGTCAGTGGGCTTGAGAAGCTTGATGCGAGTTAGGCGAACAGGGTTGCTGTTGTTGTTGGCGTTGTGATCACTCTTTCTGGGGCAATTTTCAGTATGTTCAGTTGGACACAATGTGGTGGAGATGAGAAGAGCAACGTAGTGACCGGGGTTGGTTTTCATGACATCCGTGGCACTCAAAGGTGCATAGAACTTGTCTACTTTCCCACTTGGGTGCTGAATCACCAGTGTTGCGGCATCAATGGCTTGGCAATTTCCCATCTCTTTGTTTCTTCCTTGCACTCACAAACAAAACGAAAGATGGTGGATGGGAACGTTCAAGACTCACTACCCTTAATAGCACCCACTCACTCCCACAACTTTTCAACGACCAAACTCAATCTTTTTTTAGTTTTATATCTTTGTGCTTTGGACTATGCCTAGTTAAATACTTTAATATATGATTAATAAAAATCTTTCTTATTGAAAAGTTATGGCATTTGTTATTAATAACATTAAATATTATATTAATAAAATGTTTAATGTTAATTTTTAATCAATACTACCCTTAAATACTTCTTAACATTTATCTTAATATGTATTAATGAGCAGTTTGGAGAGAGGAATTGTTATAAAAATCAACTTGAACCAGTTCGTTGAATTTGTTTGACCGAAAATTAATTATATTATCGATCTGAATTAATTGTTACATAAAGAATTAGTGTGAACTTGTGTGACTCAATTGTTGATTTTTCAAACCAGACCAGTGACTCATCTGATCAAACTGATACTCTTGAATCATCGACTCAGTAAGATTTTGATTAAACTCGGGTTTGGTAAATATTTTTAGATATACTTTTCATGATATAATATGTTTATGTGTAATTGTTACAAGTATAAAACTTTTAAGTAATAAAAAAATTTATGTTAGCAATATTTTTAACTATTTAAAGATACGAAAATGCATATATATATATATATATATATATATATATATATATTTCAAATTAAAAATAAAAAACTCTCAAAATTAATATAAAACAGTTTACTTTTACACACTTGATTTGAAAGATTTTTTTTAATTTAAAAGACTTAAAATATTTTTATTTGAGATATTAAAATAAAATTATCATAAATTTAAGAAATTAAATTATTATTACCGAAATTACGTGAGATACCGAGTTATTTGTAATTAGTTTTGAGTGGATTAAGGAAGCGAAAAAATATATATGAGATTATCCAACGTTTAAATCAATATAGAATAAATAATAAAATATAAAAAATTATTTATAAGAAATATAAATTTTTTATAAATTAAAAATCCAATCATCCAAAAATTATGAAATATTAAATCTATTTATTGAATATGTATCAAATATTTTAAATAATTGTAAATATTTTGTATAATTTCAAAATACTCGCTGAGATCGGATAAATATAATAATTAAATGTGTATGTGTGTAACCCGTACAAAGACGTGGTTGGTTGTCGAAACAAATGGAATGTAAATGAAAGCAGGGCGCGACAATTTGGACCAAAGACAGAAAGAGAGAGAAGAAAAATGGTCAGGTATCCAACGCCGGTGCACGTGGCTAGCAGGGATTGGATGCATGAAGCCGTGAAAAAACATAGTGGGGCCGGGACAGCTTATGTGATGTGATGTGCACCTCTCAAACATGACATATTACCCTTGGGTCGTGTTTGGGTAAATAACATGTTCTTATTCACAAAGTAATTGGCACGCATGTGACTACCTCAACCCGATAACTTAAGCCCTGTCTCTTGTCGGTTAGATACATTACTCCTTTTTATTTTATTTTATTATGATTATCCAATATTTTAAGACTCAATTTAATCATATTTATCTAAATTTAATTAAAAATTAAAATTAAATATATTTTTTTGACTATTTTTCTAATATTAATTATGTTCTTTATATTTTTAATTTGATAAATTATTCTTTAAATCAATAAAAATTATAAATTTATTTTTTTATTAATTTTATGATATAAAAATTATTATTAAATATTAAATTTAAATATAAAATTAAAATTATATATTTTTATAGTATTTATGTCACTCACTTCGTCAAATTACTGGAATCTCTTTTAAAAATATAACAAAAATCTCTCCAACCAATTACCTAAAGAATATCGTAAAAGAAAATAATCCATCTAAGAATATCATAGAGAGTAATAATCAACTTAAGAAATTTACAATTGAATAGGAATACACGGGTAAAAGGGGCTTAGTTTAGGAGTAAAAGAAATTCAGATATTACTAATTGGTCAGACTTCTTTTTAACAACAATTTTATATGTTTAATTATTATTATATAAATTTAATAATAATAAAAATGGTAATTAATATTAAATTTAAACATAAAAAATCAAAATTATATTGAAAAATTAAGCTCACCAATAATTTAAAATAAGTTTAAAAAAACAACAATAAAAAGCTTACTTATCCTTAAAAATTACTTGAGATAAGTAACCAACTCAAATAGCATTTCAAGAATTTAATCTTGAATTAAACTGTGAATCAATCGTTTTCGATCTTGATTCCTACTTTAGAAAGGTTGGTTATTATGTTTTCCTTTAGTGCATGCACTGCACCCTTTATCATAAACATTCTCTTTAATTGGACTAATTAAGTATCTCCTTTAATACAATACTCTAGTACATGATTATGTCGTAAGCAAGCATGTTATAATTTTCCCTAGATCTACGTCGTACTTTCATAATACATAATAATTTCCCTAATCGGCTCATTCAACACAGAGGTTGTTGATGTCGTTCCACGTAGTATGAACGATGGGGAAAGAATAAACATGAGAATGGTTTTGATTTTTAAGTGAAAGTTTATTTTTTACACATGTTTTAGTCTTTCCAGGGATTCCAACAAGGGTGCATAAAATATGGACATTATCAATTGCTCACTGCTTTTGGTCTGGTTTACTCGGGAACAACGGTGGTGCATTAGTGGTCAAATAGCTATGATCAACCCTGAGTTGCATCCCATGTTTGACAACCACAACCACCAATGCCAATGATTATAGCCAAATCTTGGATTGCATGACAATTTCATCACTCCTGTTTAGACTTTAGAGACTTCTTCATGTTCTTTCATCATCATGCTTGAATCGGAATCCATAACCCATACAGTACAGTCAAATAATATAATGATATCTTAACTATATCTGGCAAACGAAAAAAAATGCTAATTAACTAAGATAGAATATTATTTATATTTTAAATAAAATAAAATTTATTTTGATTTTGATTTTCTATTCAAATTCTAATTATTTATTAAGATTTCGTTACTAAAGACAAGTAAGTAAATATAATGTGCATGTAATCCTTTTGAGGGATATGAACGCATAATATTCTGTTACGGGGAGGTGATACGGTACGATCATATATAATTTAGTATTTATGATTTTAGTCTTAAATTTAAATTTAAATTTATAAATTTATTTTTTATTTTTTTATATTTATTTATTATTTATTAATAATATGTTATTTAATTCACTTAAGATTTATCATCAAATATCTGTTCTTCTTTAAAAAAGAAACTTTATTTTTCAAATAATAAGCTTTTCAGGAAGCAACTATTTCTTGGATTAATTCACACAAATGATTAGCGAGAAAAAAGAGATTTTATATTAGTTAACCTTTTAAACATGAGATTACCTTTCAGTGTTTACTTTACTTACCAAGATTTTCACTGAAATTAGAATCTTGTTTTTTTAAAGTCCAATAATCTTTACATGTCTAAAGGAAATGTTCATTTATTACTTATGAATAATAATATTATTTAATTGTGAAATTTTAAATATCTTAATTTTTAAAAAAGAAATTTGTTTGTATAAATAATTTTCTTTCAATTTTCTTAATTTTAAGTAATTTATATATATTATCCCCAATAAAATAATACCTCTTTATTATTAAGCAGATTTTATAATCACCTCCTTTTAAATATATTTTGTATTTTTTACAATTAAATTGTACGGATAAACTATATAATAAAAGGCAACTACATTAATTGTAGGTTTTCCACACCCAAAAAATATCTATCAAAATTTTATTAATTATTAATTAGAGGTTAGCAAATAAGATAAGATTACCACTTTTTAATGGTGATCACATAAGGACCATGTACACCAACTTTTGGGACCATCAAAATCAACCTACTAAGAAAGGTATAAATACTAGTCAAATCACTTAAAAATTAGGTACAAATACTAGTCAAATCACTTACAAATTAGGTACAAATACTAGTCAAATCACTTACAAATTTATGAATTAAATTGAGTAAATTCACTCATAAATCACTTATGATAACTTACTTGAGTGTTATGTGTTTCCTGTATCAACACCTTCTGGTGGAAAAGTGAGGACGAGAAGAGAAGAGAAGTTCCCTTAGCCACCATCAATGGATGAAAGAATAACGTAAGGGAACATGTACTTTGTTGTAAGTACATAATTGTTAGAATTTAAAATTAAATACAAAGAGAACAATAGATTTCGGAAAAAAAAAAGATATTATCACTACAAGAAAAACACCAAATAGTGACCGAAATTAGTGACTGAAAAATTCAGTCACTGATAATACTGAATCGATGATCGACTTCCTTTTTATATTTAGTGATCGATTTAGTGACTAAAATTTCAGATCACGAGATATCGATCATCGATTCGATCATCGAATCGATCATCTGATTCGATCACTACTAGAAAAATGGTTAATAGTGACCGAAAGTGGTGACTGAATTTTTTTATATTTAGTAACTCGATTTAGTGACTAATTTTTCGATCACTAAAAAAATAATTTTTAAATTGATAACTATTTTTCATTTATATAAATATTTTATTTAAAATATTTTAAATATAAATCTACTTAATAATTTAAAATAAGTGATAACATTGTTAATAACATTATAAAAATTTTAAAAAAATAGTTTACTAACTTATTAAATAATTTAGTAATATAATTATTTAATTTTATTTTTTAATTTAGCATGTGAATAAAAAAATTAAAATTGATTATTAAATTAATCACTGAATCGGTCATTGATTCGGTCACATGAATCGGTCACTAAATCAATAATTAAATTAATTATTAATTTAGTCTCTTTATATATATATATATATATATATATATATATATATTACTTGTATGTTAATAAAAATGTATTTCAATGTATTTATAAAAAATTAAAATTATTTTAATTACTGAATTGATATTTTAAATTTATATTAATATCTTGGATAATTTAATAGTTGGATATATATTTTAAGTTTATATTAGTCATTTTTATATAAAAGTGTAAAAATAAAGTGAACTTATTTTAAAATTTAATTAAACATAATAATATAATATAGTATTAACCTGTGAAGATTTAGTTAGAAATTAATTTTAAGTTTTATTGTTTTTATTTAAAAAAAATCGTTAAAAAAATTTAAAATAATTAATTAAAGTAAAGAATTTTAATTTAATAAATGTGTTAATATTATTAGAAGAATTAAATTTATATTAATAATTATATAAAATTATAGATATATTAAAATTTAAATTATTGGTAATTTTTTTAATTATTAAGCTAAAATTTGATAATATTAATAAATTAAAAATAATATATATATATATATATATATCACTTTAATTTTTTAATTAAAATTAATTTCATAAAAAAATTAATATTTGAAAATTAAAATGCAAAAGTATATATATTTATCTTTTATTTAATTATACTTTTACACCTAAAAAAAGAAAAAAATAATAAAATTTTCTTTTATTAATCATTTTTATAAAATAAAAAATATATAATAATTACTTTTATAAAAAAAAATTTAACGTTCTTGATTCTTTAACATGATTTGTTTTAAGCTGATACAACAACGTTTATATCAATTAAAACACTTTACAAAAATCTTCTAAGTTGATTTAATCGATTGTTTCGCGATTCAATCGATTGAAATCTCGCAAAACTTTCTCGTAAAACTTTTCAAGTTATTTTAACCGATAAAAATAAGTTTTAATCGATTAAAACGCTGTGCAGAAATTGTTTTAATCGATTGAAACGAGATTTAATCGATTAAAATAGTTCGATCAGTCATAATCGCATTCGATCGATCATAATTGAAACGATATAATAGCGGTTTCAGGTTAACCGCTATCTAAGTGAGCTTTTAAGAGCGATTCCTGTGTAACCGCTATCTAAAATGTATCTCGCTTGAGCGACACTCTTCTCGCTCGAGCGAAACGCCCCCTGCACAAAATTGACATTCTCAGGTTGTATTTCGCTTGAGCGACTCTAGTATCGCTCGAGCGATATTTGATTCTGATCGATTAGATTTTCGAAATGATCGATCATATTTGATAATTTTTTCAAATAATTAATTATAATCGATTAGTTTTCTAAATTATTGATTAGAATTGATTAGTTTTTCAAATAATAGATTAGAATTGATTAATTTCGAAATATATACTAAAAAATTATAATTAAAAATATAAATTAGTTAAGAATATTGACTATTGTAAAGATAAAGTAGAACATGGGAGGAGATGAGGATGATAATATAATGATAGAACTTACAAAAATGTAGAATTGAGAAGTTTGAAACAAATAAAATTAAGAAAATAGATATTTAATTACACTTTTAATAAATTTAAGATAATACTAGTTTTGATTTTTATTTTTAAATATTTATTTTAATTATTTAAAACAGAGAAACTATAATTTTAGTTTCTAGCTACTGAATTTAAAGAATTAAATTTATTATTATTTAATCTTTTAATTTGTAGAATTAAACTCAATATAATTGTTAAAAATACTTTGTAGAGGCATTTGAGAAAGTTTTTGTCAAAATACTTTGTTTTTAATTATTAAAAACATTTGTAGAGGCATTTTACAAAATCTTTTAAGTGAAGAAACCTCATGCAACAGAAATATTTTAATTTTAGTATTAAAAATTTAAATTATATTTTATTAAATTAAACTAGTTACAATATATTTTTTTACTTTGAGAATGAACAATATAATTAAACTCAAAATTGACAATATTATAATACATTTTTGAACTCTTTTGGATTAATTTTGTTTCCTAATTTTTGATAAAGTTAATTTTAATATTTAAAAGTATTTAACATTTTGAATTCGAAAGGTTTTCTCTAATAGCAAATTTAAAAACATAATATTCAAAAAAATAGTTAATGTAAGTTTTCATTATGATTGATGAAAAGAAGAACATAATTGAGAAGATATGATAGCGGTTCCACGTTAACCGCTATCTAAAATATAATTTAGATAGCGGTTAATGGTTAACTGCTATTAGAAGTGCACTTTTAAGAGCGGTTCTTGTCGAACCGCTATCTAAAATGTATTTCGCTTGAGCGACAATATTCTCGCTCAAGCGAAACGCCCTCGCACAAAATTGGCATTCTCGGGTTGTATTTCGCTTGAGCGACACTACTCTGCTCGAGCGAAATACGATTCTGATCGATCATAACTTGAAATGATCGATCATAATTGAGAGGATATAATAGCGGTTCCCTTATAACCGCTATCCGAAGTGTATATTAGATAGCGGTTAAGGCTTATACGATATTCTGAAGTGTATTTCGCTTGAGCGAGACTACCGTCGCTCAAGCGAAATCCGATTCTGATCGATTATATTTTCAAAATGATCGATCATATTTGATAATGTTTTCAAATAATTAATTATAATCGATTAGTTTTCTAAATTATTGATTAGAATTGATTAGTTTTTCAAATAATAGATTAGAATTGATTAATTTCGAAATATATACTAAAAAATTATAATTAAAACTATAAATTAGTTAAGAATATTGACTATTGTAAAGATAAAGTAGAACATGGGAGGAGATGAGGATGATAATATAATGATAGAACTTACAAAAATGTAGAATTGAGAAGTTTGAAACAAATAAAATTAAGAAAATAGATATTTAATTACACTTTTAATAAATTTAAGATAATACTAGTTTTGATTTTTATTTTTAAATATTTATTTTAATTATTTAAAACAGAGAAACTATAATTTTAGTTTCTAACTACTTGAATTTAAAGAATTAAATTTATTATTATTTAATCTTTTAATTTTAGTATTAAAATTTTAAATTATATTTTATTAAAATAAAATAATTACAATATATTTTTCTACTTTGAGAATGAACAATATAATTAAACTCAAAATTGACAATATTATAATATATTTTTGAACTCTTTTGGATTAATTTTTTTTCCTAATTTTTGATAAAGTTAATTTTAATATTTAAAAGTATTTAACATTTTGATATAATGAGCATGATAATATAATGATAGAATTTACAAAAATGTAGAATTGAGAAGTTTAAATTTTTTTTTAAGAAAATAGAGATTTAATTATACTTTTAATAAATTTAAGATAATACTAGTTTTTAAACCTTTTTCTAATATTTGTTTTTAAAAATATAATATCATTTTTAATATTTTATAGATTTTATATTTATATATTTATAAAAGTAATTGGATTAAATTTATTATCCTCTCATATATTATTATACATTTAGCGTAATTTTAGTTTATTTAAAAATTAGAATACAAATATACTATACCAATATACCATTATATTATTTTCATTGTATATAAATTACAAAATTAATAATTTGTATACTATACTATACTAACATATTATTTGTATACTATACTAATAGTATAATATACTATATTATAATATTATTTGTATACAAAACTAATATCTTTATATATAAATATATAAATATGGAAAGATATAAATATATGTAAAAATATAAACATATAAATATATATAAATATGTAAAGATATAAACATATATCTTTAATATTTTGTAAATGTAAATATAATTTATATATATTTTTAAATCTTTTTCTAATATTTATTTTTAAAAATATAATATTATTTTTAAAATTTAATATTTTTTTTCAAATATATAAATATATAAAGATATAAATGTATAAGGATATAAATAAATATATAAATATATCAATATATAAATATATCAAAATATAAAAATATAAAAATATAAATATATCAATATATAAATATATAAATATATAAATATATAAATATATAAATATATAAATATATATATATATATATATATATACAAATATATCAATATATCAATATTATCCCCTCATATATTAATATACATTATGCTATATAAATATATCAATATATAAATATATCAATATTTAAATATATCAATATTTAAATATATATTAAAATATATAAATATATTTTTATTTATAGATTTTATATTTATATATTTATACGGATATACATTTATTTGTATATAAATATAATTTATTTGTAAGTTATTATTAAAAGATCCTAGTAGCTTAGTGGTTGGAGTTTCAACCTCCAACTCTAAGGTACCGGGTTCAAATATAAAAACTTAAATAAGCAAAATATAATATAATTAAGAGATAGGGAAAATAAATAATAGATATAAAAATAATTAAATTTGTTATTGATTAACTTTTTCATTGATTTAGTGACCAATTCCAGTTGGTCACTATTTCGGTCACTATTTTAATTAGTAACCGATTTTGTACATTTAGTGATCTGAATTTTCGATCACTATTTAGTGTTTTTCTTGTAGTGTATATTGAATGAAATTTTTCAATTTTTGTCACCTAATATTTCATAAGTTCAAACTCATAAATATTAGAGACTACATGATTGATAGGGTTGGAAAGAATAAACACTACAATTTTAAGTTAAATATTATTGAATTAAATGCCCAATAAATGATTCATTCGTTATGCTAGATTTTTCGATTGCGAAAGATTTTTAATAGTTATTTTCCTATGGCAATAACTAATGCTGATAAATTAGGTAGAAAATTTGTTATTCTAACTAATTATAACATTCCTTAAAGTCTAATTTATGTCATTTGTAATATCTAATTTTCAATATATATTTAATTTTATTGATGATTATTACAAGTTAAATAATATTGTTTTTATTTAAATGTAGATATGACTTACAATGTTTAGAATCATTCTGAAAAAAACTTTATTTTAACTATAAAAATATGTTTTATTCGACATCGATTTTTCAATGATTATCATAAAAAAAAATACCATTATAAACATATTTTCACTAGTTTTTATGTGATTTAAATATTAATCCATTAAGATCTTCACGTTATCTATATCTCTCTCTGTATATATAAAAGCATCAACGTTACACAGTATATGTATAAACTGTATATATTTGGTGTTAGTTAGAGAATGATTTCGTGGCGTTTGAAAGAGCAAAGAAGATGTGAAGTGAAATGAGAGGCGTGCGTGGGGGAATGAAAGAAAGATAATTGTTATGCATATATGCATTGTGGTGGTGGTGGTGGTGGTGGCGGCGGCGTGGAGGATGGTGATTGTAGCTTTTTATTATTGATTGAAAGCTGTTATGTTTTTGTTTGTGTGGGGCATCACCGTCGTCACCGACACATAATGAGTGGGTGGTCGCGTTGTTGGGCTTTTAAGTGTGTTGTATTGCAAAAGAAACAGCATGCAATTGTGGTCCAACGCACCCTTTCCTCTTTAAGGCCCACACATATTCACGTTTTTCTCCCACCCTGTCTCGTCTCTCTTGTGCTCTATTCATTTCACACTTTCTTTCAGGTTAGCCACCTTCTACCATTTCAATGCATTCACTCTCCCACAATTTTTAACCAAATTTTAAACTCAACTTTAACTAAATTGTTATACTTTTACATTATTTTATTATTAAAATATCATATATTACTCAAATATGAAGTTTATTACCGATTCTTTGTTTAATATCAAAGCAAATATAATTTTTATGGTAAACTAAGATCAATTTATACATAAATTAAAAGGAATAAAATGTTAACAAAAGAATCACCTTGATAGACTTTATCATAAATGTGAGGGAGTTCGGCAAGGTATTTGACAACGAAAGTGCATGCAGCACTAGCAGTGTCATGACCTCCAATCAAAAGGCCCAGAATCTTGTCTGCAATATCGAATTCTGTCATGAACTGTCCATTTTCATCGCATGTTAGGAGCATGTAATTTTTATAATTTTATCTTTTCATTTTTCATCTTTCACCATTTCACTTATAATAAATACTATCTTTATTCTTTTAGGTAATTTTAAATTTTTTTTTTCTTTTTTTTTTTCTTCAGACTTTATCTTTCTTTCTCCTCCCTTTTCACTTTTCTGCTTCAATTTTTTTAGATCAAAGACTCTAATTTTTATTTTCATATTTCTATCTTTTTTCTTATGATTCATTCACTTTCATATTTTTTTCTTTCCTGATTTTCCCACATAACATAAAAATTGTAAATTTTTCTCTTTAGTTTTTCAATATTTTCTCTTTTACAAATTGACCTTTATAATAAAAAAAATTGTAACTTTTTGTTTTTTCAATTTTTTATTATTTGTTCACATTGGAGAAAGATAAGAAATTAAAAAATAAATGAGATATCCTGCAATATTTTTCTTGCAGTACATAACACTAAGTAAATTTATTTATTTGTTATAAATTAATTAGTTATTTTAATATTGTATGATACTATATTTTTATGTTAAAATGTGAAAAAAATTATCAGGTTAAACTTTAGAATTGTATAAAAAGAAAACTATAAACTCATTTTTTTAAGAAAAAAAGAGGATAAATGATGAAATAAACTTTAGTTTACGAAATTTAAATTCAATCAATGTTGTGGAGCAACCTACATTTAATTAATTTATTCAACAACCTTCTTCCAAAATTATGAGGATTGAACATGAAAAAATTAATATGGATACTTTGATAGGTGATCAAATTATCCTATCAATCAATAAGATGAAATTCGTTGAGCATATATGCAATTTGGGTCTTATGAATTTTTTTAATAAATGAGTATTCACTTTCGGGTTTAGACAATCATCCTCATCAATTTCAAGCTAATTGATTCAAAAGTTTTAATTATTTTATATAATATATTTATTTTTATATGTTGGTCCCCCTCATTTCCGCCATATAAAAATTTAAATTTTACAATATTGTCATCAAAGTTCATAGTTAAGATACCACCATGAAAATCTATCTTAACATGTGTTGTCTTTAGGAATGGTCTTCCCAAAATTATTGGAGGAAAATCGAGAGAGAAATTACCTTCCATGTTAAGAATATAAAAATAAGTTAGAATATTAAGTTGTCCATTCTCAATAAGACATCGTCAATAAGGCTAGTTGGTTGCACTGCACTCCTATTTGACAATTTGTTACACCTAAATTTTGCATAAAACCAAATGATAAAGAAGAATAAACTGTCAAAGACATAACATTAATTAATACTCATAAGTCAAGCATTATATTTTCAAACTTGTTATTGTCAATGATACAATGAATTGTAAATAATTTGAATTTTCAAGAATTAAAGTGCATGTTGTAAAAATCAATACAAAAACATTTCTTCCTACATCAACTTTTTATTTCTCTTCAATCTCCTTTTATGAGTACACAACTCCTAAGAATTTAGCATATTTTGGATTTGTTTAATAGCTTCAAGTGAATGAAAGTTGACTTCAATAATTTGGAAATCCTACAAAATCTATTTGTCCAACTCGTCTCCCTCCTTTGAATGCAAATAACCTTTTGTTCGAGGGAATGAAACTTGAACTTTCTCATCATGAATAGGCCCACCAACATTAGTAATGGTTGAAAGAGTTGTGATAGATTTATGCACAAGATTTTTAACTTTTTCTTCTTCTTTTTGTTGAGTGTTATCCACCAAGACATGTTAAACAACTTTCTTAGTTGTCATAAGTGTCATAGAAATCACATTTCAAATGTTTACCACAGTTTCGGAGGACAATTGGTCAAAATACCTAAATTGGTTTTGATTGATGGTGCTTGGTAGTTATCAAACTTATGATTCAAGTGCTTTTGTACTTATGTCACTCCTTTGTTGAAATTGCAATGTGTTTAATGACTTGAAGATTGCCCAAATTTAGTAGAATTATTTTTGTTTTGGTTTGTATATGGTGGATGGGATTGTGGACATTGTGGAAACATTTATTTTTTTGTGAAAAAATGGTTATTGGGATAGTTATTATGGATAATTATGTTAAGGAAAATAATTAGGTTGATGTGAAGTTTTAGCTTGATTTTCCCGTTTCAAATTTGGATGATTTCTCCGATTAGGATCGTATTTTGGGGAGCTCAAATCAACATGTTATGCAAGATATTTCTAGTATTGTGCAATAACACTAACTTGAGGATTTTGATTTAGCATGCTATGTAAAGATGAACATTCATGTGTAACATGGAAAAGTGCAGATCCCACACAATACTCCAGCTATTAGAAAGTTTGTTGTGAAAAGCTTGTGGTGTAGAGTATGCTTGAACTTGAGTTTGTACCAATTGTTTCACCATTGATGAAAGGTTATCAATTTTATTCACCAGTTGTTAATGCTCCATGGAATAACTAGTTTGAACTTTAAAAATACTCTAAACAACTGTGTTACCTCTTATAAATCATTGTTTTGAATTAGTGACCATGGTTTCCATAAATTACCTTGCTACTCTAAGGGGTTTTATTCACAGGAGTTCTACTACTTGTAGTATCAATCATACTCTTATTCATGAATGTTAGATGATGAACACATTTATGAATAACTTTATTAACATAATTTGTATATTTACTTAATTAGTTATTAAGTTATTAACATAGTTTTGATAAAAAAATAAAAAAATAGTTTTATATCTAAATTATTGTCTAAATTGTTCATTTTAACTTATTATTTATTTATGTAAAAATGATAAATTAAAGAAAAATATAAAGATTTATTTGAAGAATCCGCTCAATAAATTTATTCTAAAAACATCATTCTAGGAATTGTCAATTTGTTTAGTAAGGAGACAATCCGCCAAGCGAAAATGTCCAGGACTATGAAACTAACTTAATAGAAATTTTGTTGAGCAAGTGAAGAATGCTTAATGAGTTTATCGCAAAACCTTAATTCTACATAAGTGCAATTCAAGTTCTATTTGATATAATTGGATAATTATGAGCCTTGAGTGGGTCTTGCATTTTTTAAGCATGTTTGTTGTTATATAAATAGGATTTAGAAGGCAAAAAACATTCGTTAATTTCAAGTTAATTTTTTCATTTCTTAGATTTCAAGGTTTAGGTCAAAGTTTCTCTCTAGATTTTCTCTTTTTTGTTTATATGTTAATAACTTAACTTCTAAATCCAAATTCTATGGCTCATGTACGAATTATACCTTGAAGTTTATCACCTAAAGATTATTTAATCTTTCTTAATCTCTTCATTTATTTTTTTTTTATTTTTCTTCCTCTATTTTTTCATTTCTCTTTACATATTTTCATAGTTTTTCTTTGTTCAATGTTTGAAATGTGATTCTAATTACTTTTGTGGTTGATTCACTAATGGATACTAGTTATTTATGATTTAGATTTGATTCTTAATGATTCTAACATATTATAATCCATTACAATTAATGTAATTTGGATTATTTGATTAAATGACTCATTTTGTATCACAATTCAATTTTTATGTTTAAGTAGTTATTTTATTTAGGAATTGAGTTACACTTTTAATTCAATTGGATTGTAATTGTTTAAAATTGTAATGGATTTGTTTTGTGATTGCAAACAAGTCTAAAAATCAATGACAATCATATGAATAAGATGATGATTGGTTAATCAATCCAAGTTTTATATAGCTTTTCAATACTATTTTGCTACATAATTTATAGTTTTAATTCTATTTTAGACTTAAATTCAATGTTTCCTTTAAGTGCTTGCAATTTTACATGCTTTCATTTACTACATTCCATTTATACTTAGATTTCTTTACATTGGTTACTCTCTTTAATGTTTTCATTTACATGCTTTTCTTTATTGCTTTGATATATTAGTTTATGGATTTGCATAGGATAATATATTTACTTGCTTTATTTTACTACTTTTTATACCAAAAACACTTTCAATGTTCCTTTCTCCTTGCTTATAATACTTAAATCCAAGATTTAGATGACATTGGTCAATTTTCCTCAAGGACACGACCTAGGTCATACCCTATAACTGCATAAACTTTTGTTTATGCATATTTGATCATATCTAGGCAACAAGATGCACAATAATTAAAGTGACGCTATTGTCAAGGAGCAATTGGTGATTGTGTTATTTCAAACTTCAATTTTCAATTGTTAAAGGTTAGTATACATATTTGTTTCATTGTTTACTTTATTTTATTGTGTTTAGTTCGTTCAAACTAGGAAAACTCACTAGTGCATAATGGCCTTTTTACGTCAGTTATTTTGGACTTTTTGCATCACCTATAAGACTAACGTTAAAACGGGAGACATAAATTTACGTTGGTCCCTTTGACCAATGTAAATTCACGTGAGCTATCAAGACCCGACGTTAATCTACGTTGCATATATCACTAAACAGACGTAAAAGGCTTCAAAATTTTTAAAAATTGAACGAAATTTACATCGCATATAAGAATGTGTGACGTAAATTTACATCGCATATGTGTATGTGCGATGTAAATTTCATTTTTTTTTTCAATATTGGATTTATTTTATCTTATAAGCAAAACCTGAAAACATATATCATAACCAGACAGTCCAGATGTTCAAGTTTCTTTAGCTAGTAAATAAAAAATATAATATTATATATCATTCAAACCACAAAAGTTAAATTAATACACCATGCTAGTACAAAAATTAGGTAACTTAAACTACATAATAAAATAATATAACACAAACAATAACCTATAAACTAAAAGTTATTACAAACTAAAAGTTAGTACAAACTAAGCTACCTAAATTACATAATACACACAATATAATACCAATAATAACCTACAATTGTTTAACGAAAAATTTTGTCCATTGTTCTCTAATTTGTGTGATATATCATGTTTTGACAATGGAGATTGATCTTGAAATACCTGAAACATTACGAAGTAATTACCTCCGTCCAAAAATTAGTTATACCTGCACAAACTATCACTCTCATCCAATACATAACATAGTAACCATATTCAAATACCTGGAATATCAATTTGACTCCTATTAATATGCAATACACACAAAAGTAAATAAACTTAACAAATGTTGAAAGTAATTACCTCTGTCAAATAATTATTTATATCTGCACAAACTTTTGTGTATTACATATGCTTAGGAGCATATTTTGGAGAAACAGTTGGGACAATTCCCCTTTGAAGATTTGTTCTCTCTTCTTCGCCTTTTTTTCTTCGTTTTGATATAACAAGAGACATAGAACACTAACCTCGAGTATACAGGAAAATGATTTAAAACTCGAATCCAATCGGGGAGAAACATCAAATTCAGAAAATGGGACACAATGTTGACATTTTTCACAGTCAAAATGGTCGAAAATGATGTTGAAAGGGTGGTTGTCGTTGTTGTTCTCGTCGTCGTTCTCAAAAACCCTTACTGCATGAGACGAGGGAGTGACATTGGAACATAATAAAACCCTGTTTTTACGTCGCACCTGAAAAGAGGCGACTTACGTCGCCTCATTTTAGGTGCGACGTAAAAGTCTCACCTCATATTTACAAAATTGCCACCGCATTTTTTTTAAGTTGGATATTTTTGGATGCGACGAGAATTAGGTGACATAAAAGGCCCTTTTTGTACTAGTGACTTCAAGAAATATTTTGTTTTTATCAAATATTCACTCAATGATTTCCTGTTCGTTAGGCGAGTTTTCATTTCATGCTTATTTCTTAACATTGTCGTATTTTCGCTTAAGCAAAAACAAGTTTGCTCAATGAAAATGTTACCATGTTGATTTTTTTATTTTGTCCATTTTTCGTTCAACAAATATGTTATTTGCTAAGTGATTTCATCTAGTGCCTTTAATTTTCATTTTTGTTTGTTTTTGCTAAACGACCGCGTATTTTGTTAAGAGAATTTATTTCAGTGTTTAAATTTCTATTTTGTTTATTATTTTCACTTAGTGATGACCTGTTCACATAATGAAATTTGTGTTTTTTATTTTATTTTGTTTGCTCTCTTGAACTATTTCGCCTAGCGATTTGTGAAGCGCTTAGCAAGTTTGCTTCTCATTGAAGTGAAAGAAAATCATAATCCGCTTAGCAAAAATAGCTCACTAGCTTCTATTCTTTTATTTTTATTGTACAATTTCTATTTTATATTTTCTCTTTAGGTTTCTACAATTGGATACTATTGTCCCATAGTACAAGATCATTTGAATTTGATCCTAAAATTAAAAAAACTTTACATAAATTAAGAAAACAACAAAAAGAAGCACATGTAGGTTCCTCATCCATTTTTGAAAACATGAGTCAAATCAATATGAGTGAGAGGACACTTAAAGAGATAGTTGAACCAAATGTTTCATATCATAATATTTGCATTCAATTTGAGGATAATGATGATGTGTCATATGTTTTTTGTTAGGTATTTTCGAGGAGGCAAACAACAGGGAAATTCTCACAAATGGGTCATGAGCCAATCATATAAGAGAATATGACAATACTCTTAACCAAAAACTTTAAGGCAATAAGTTATGGGTCTTTCTCACTTATAAGTTACTCAACTTTCCCATTTCTACCTAATGTGGGACTTCAAATTCATACTTGAATTCACAACATCTCCCCCTTAAGTGTGATTCTCTTTCACATTGGTATACCTCCCCCTCGAGCGGGAGCATTTTTTTTAGCCATGAGTATCTAGTGATGACCTCACTTGTACCGTCGTTCAACTTAACGGGACTCGCTTGCATGAAACCTTTGTCAGGAAGACTTTTGACACAAGGACCTTTCACCATCTATAATCATACTCAACTGAGCCGGTCACTGGATAAACCATCGACTCTGATACCATTGTTAGGTATTTTCGAGCGGGAAAAAGCAGGGAGGTTCTCACAAATGGGTCATGAACCAATCATATAAGAGAATATGACACAATTCTCAACTCAAAACCTTAAGGTAATAAGTTATGGGTCTTTCTCACTTATAAGTTACTCAACTTTCCCATTTTTACCTAAATGTGGGACTTCAAACTCACACTTGAATTCACAACATTTTTAAAACATATTCAATAGATTTGTTTCTAGATTTTGTTGCCTTACAAGTGAAGATCCACATAAACACCCTTAAGGAGTTTCACACAATTTGCTTAACCATGAGACTTCAAGCTGTTATTGAGGATCATATAAAGCTCAAGACATTTCCATTCTCATTACATGAAAGAGAAAAGAACTGACTTTACTACTTACCTCTAGGTTCATCATAACTTATGATAGTTTGAAAATGATGTTTCTATAAAA